CGCCATCAAACCGATCCTTTGGGTAGAACCTACAAAACTTATAAGCCCTACACACCCGAACCTCAAAGCCCTGAGCAACCAAACTTTAAACACCATAAACCCTACCTGGGTATCTAAAAACCCATCGTTTTCAGGGTTAGACCCTATGATTAAGGGGTCATAACCTACTATTTTGGAGGGTTTGGGGTCACAGGTAAACCTTAAACCCTACGTAGCACCCTAACAGCCTAAAAACCCTAAAAACCCAAAACCCCCTACACCCGAAACCCTAAGCCCTGATCCCAGGGACCCCACGGCACGCCAAAGCAGCTCGGCCAGCTGCCACAGCACGTCGTCCACAGAAGGAAGCTCGGAGACCTTCAAGGAATGTAGGGTTTAGGGTTTAAAGGGTTTCTGTAAAGGATCTATAGGGTTTAGGGCTTCGGGTTTTTGAAGGGTTCCTGTAAGGGATCTGTGGGGTTTAGGGCTTAAGGTTTAAAAGGTTCCGACAAGGGATCTTTAGGGTTTAGGGTTTACCTGAAGAGGCAAAAACCTAACATTTTAAGGGTTCCTACAAGCGGTCTACAGGGTTTAGGGTTTACCAGGGATCCAAACACCTTACGTTTCAAGGGTTCCTATAAGGGATCATAAGGGATTCCGGGCTTGAGAATTTCGAGGTTTTAGGACCAACCTGGTGATCCAAAAACCTACCGGTTTAAGGACTCTTCCCTCTCATTAAGGGGTCATAACCTCCTATTTGTGTGAGATTTTTGGTGACAGGTACTGTTTAGGGTGAAAGATTAGATTTTAGGGCTTGACGGGCTTAACGGCTGGGAGATCATCTGCTGCAGCAAAATCCTGAGAATGATGCGAAAGTTTCTCGCGGGATAGGCAACGAAAAAGCGCACCTGTTGCAGCACTTCGACATGGCTGTGCATCGACCTGACACCGCGGAGGCATCGATTGGCAGGATTGGCAGAATACGCTCGATTCATTGCCTAACCTCCACCTGATTGGCCCACATCTTCCTTATGGAGAGGCAACCAAACCGAGAGCTTTCTTCAAGGTCTCCCAAGAGAAGTCCCAGTTACGATATCCTCCTCCAACCTTCCAATCGCCCAGCAGCTCATCGTTCTCGTCCTTCTTGTAAAGCATCGTCTCACAGACTTCCTCCAGCAAAGACAGCTGTCCCTCCGTTGGCACCCAGAGCTCCTTATAGTTTACCATGGATGGAACACATGGCGCGTTCAAGAGGCCTAGCCCCATAGCTGCCCGCGCTGTTCCGGCCTGGCGGGTGCCTCTTGAAGCCCACCACAAGTCAGCCTCATCCAGAAGCTCTTTCGAGGTCTGCTTCGGCCCTCCTGCCAGGACCAATTTGTAGTGCAGGGCTCTGTCGGGGTCACTAATGGCCGGCTGGTGCGTAGCGGCATTCAAGCTGGTCAGCTTCTTGGTCTCCTTACCGAATGCACATCCAAAGGTTGTACATCATCCTTATTAGGGCATCAATCGATGGGGCATCCCCATCAATCTTGGCTTCGCCCATCAAGGACGTCAGGAACATCCCTTGCTCCGTGGCGGTTGGCACTTCTGCACCTCGAGTGTGGATACACCAGCAAAACGCACGTCTTGCACAATTGTTACGAGCCGTGCAACACAGCACCACGTGCTTCAAATGGCACTCATCAATTGACGAGCACTTGGCCCCGAATCGACAAAATCCTTCAGGGACCGCTGAGAGGCCACCTTCTTCATCCGCGCCCTTCGCAACAGACGACTGCCGTGCGTCATCTTCTGATGAATTAATCGCGTTGAATCGGAGGGCTTCCAGGGTTCGATACTTTTTGAAAGGCTTCGTTGGACAATGTAAGGCTTACGGGCTCTAGTCTTTTGTGAAGGGGTTTTTTGAAGGAATGTAGGAAGGCCAAGGCTTAAGGGTTCTATTCTGTTTTGAAGGGCTTTGCTGAAGGAATGTAGGGCTTAAGGGTTCTATTCTGTTTTGAAGTGCTTTCCTTAAGGCACGTAGGGCTTATGGGTTCTCGGGCGGGTGGCATGAGGATTCTATAAGGTTACATGACAATACACGGGCTTAGGGTTTGAGCTTTGCGCCTAATGTAGGGGCCTTAACAATTAGAATACGGTTTTGGTACCCATTATACTATAAATATAGTAAGGAGCCCCCCAAAATAGTATTGGTAACTATTTAGGCCCCTATAGTAGAATGCTTCTTTCAAGAGGTTTAAGACTTCCGTTTCGGGGTTGGGGAGTTAGGAATGTAGGGTCGAAGGGAGCGTGCTGCATCCGAGCTGGCCTGCAACCCCTAGAGCGAAACCCTAAACATCCTGAAACCCCTAAACCTGCAGGGGCTGCATGAGAACAGCACCTCTAGGATCCCTGAAGGCGCGATTGCTCGATTCCCGCTCCCAAACATCGATGCAGAATGGAACCCGAGCGGAAACCCTGCTGAAGGCCCGTGAAGATTCAGAGGGCTTACCTGTGAATCCAAAAACCTGCCGTTTTTAGGCTTAGACCCTATAATTAAGGGGTCATAACCTACTATTTTGTAGGCTTTGGGGTGACCGGTAGGGTTTAGGGTGGAAGATCCGAGAGACAATCAGGAAAGAGAGACATGCTTTGAGGGTTTAGGGTTAAGGGAAAGACCTCTAACCCCAAACCCTACAAAATAGTAGGTTCTGACCCCTTAAGTAGAGGGTAGAACCCTTAAAACGGTAGGTTTTTTGGAGATTCACAGGTGGGGCATTCTGCATTTCAGGGGAATTCGGGTGTCAGGTTCAGGCTTGGGGCTGGGGGTTCGATCAAGCCATGCCTTCGCCGAACCTACCTTCGTCTGAAGTTCACCTCAAGCCAAAAACCCTGCCTGGGGATCCAAAAACCTACCGCTTTAAGGGTTCTAACCCTGTAATTAAGGGGTCATAACCTTCAGGTTTCCCTGACCCTCAAAGGACTCATATTTGAAGGTTGTTGGGCCCAAAGACTCTATTTTGTAAGGCTTTTGGGCTATTTTGATGCTAAGGGGTTCAATCAGGGGCCTACATTCGAGTTTGGGGCTCTGGCCTCGAAACCCTCACCCGCAGCGCCAAAGCCCTAAACCCTAACCCCTGCCTGAACCCCAAAAAACCTTAACTTTTTCAGGACATGTTATAAGGAAATCACGACAAGGAACCCTGGAAGGTTGTTACAGGGTTCAGCTATAAACCCTTACCAGGCCCTAAATAAGACTTAAGTTAAACCCGAAAGCCCAAACCTCTAAACCCTTTAACTCACCCGAACGGAAGGGCCTGCTTGCCACTCCCATGCGCGAAGAGTACTTTTACAGCTGCACGGAAATCTTGGTAATCCTGCGTTTCGGGTCTTCGGCCAGGGGTCATTTTAAGGGTTTTACGGGAGCCTCGATTGGACTACCTGGGGATAAAAAAACCAACCGTTTTAAGGGCTCTACCCAGTCATGAAGGGGTCATCACCTACTATTTGTAGGGTTTGGGGTCACAGGTAGGTATTCGTTGGGACATTCTAAAGTGTACTGCTAGAGTACCCCAAACGCGGAGCCCTACATCCTCGACTGCCAGACTGAGTCAGACTTGAAAGAAAGAGTCGTAGAGATACTGCGACCCAGACCACGATCTAAAAAATAGATACCCTAAGGAAGTTCCTTTAAAGTACGTACCCCTTAGTAGAATAAGGTCCCAAATTAAGGATCTACATTTTAGAGCCTTCGGGGTTGGGAAGGGTTTAGGGTTTAGGGTCAGGGCCCAAAAAGTCCCAAAATTCTTTGATTGAGGAAAATATACCTCAAATTAGAAGGGGATCCTTCTAAAAGGGGACCCTTCGTACACCTTAAACTAGACGGGGTCCTTTTGAGGGGATCCTTCATATGATTTCAGATATATTCATCCCTAAACCCTCAACCTAAACCCTATACCCTAAAACCCTAAACCCTAGTTAACCTAAACCCTAAACCTAAACCCTATACCCTAAACTAAGGGGTTTTGGAGGCTCTGGGTATGTGCCGAGAGAAGGCTCGGGTCTGACAGCACCAATTCGTCTGAACGGGGGCCGGCGACGGTTTAGGGGTTTACCTGGGGATCCAAAAACCTACCGTTTAAAGGGTTCCCTTAAGGTTTACTATAAGGGATCTATAGGGTTTAGGGTTTAAGGGTTTAGGGGTTCACTTGGGGATCCAAAAAACCTACCGTTTTCAGGATTCTACCCTTTATTTAAGGGGTCCTAACCTGCTTATTTTGTAGGGTTTGGGGTTACAGGTAGGGTTCACCCTAAGGCTCATGGACCCCCATAGTGAAAGCCCAAACCTTAGCCCCCAAAGCCCAAACCTTCCCCCAGAAAGCCCATAACAGCAAGAAGAGCCTTAGGGCAGGGTTGAGAATCGAGAGTTTAGGGTTTAGGTTTCGGATCTAGGGTTGAAGGCATCGGGTTTAGGGTCCATGTACCCCAAAAAGGGGGCTCCTTTAAGGGTTCCTTTAAAGGTGTCTATAAGGGTACCAAAAGGGTTTAGGGTTTAAGGGTCCATGTACCCAAATAGTACATACTTTGGGCCCAAAGTGCCCAAATAGGGATTATGATTACTTTAAGGGCAAAGTATATACTATTTGNNTTGGGTACATGGACCCTTAGGGTCGGGTTTAGGGTCCTGGTCTGTGCCGGTCTGAGCTGTTTTGTCCGGGAAGTAAGGAAGCTGGTGGGCTGAAAGAGACTGGGTGGTCATGTTGTTGTAGGGTTTAGGGTTTAGGATCCGCTAACTATAAATTGTAAACCCTAAACCCTGTATAGATCTTAAGCCGTAAACCGTTAGAGTTGGTCTAACGAAAAGAGGGAGCTACAATGGACACCATCGGAATCCTAAGACCCCAGGAAACGACAGATCCCAGGGCCAAAGGCCTGAGACGTTTTATTCGACGGTTAAGGGTTTAGGGTTTAGNNTTTAGAGCTTAGGGTTTGGGGGGGTTTAGGAGCCCTTCAAGTGAAACTCCTCTTGAAGTCGTAAGCACAATGACTTACTGCGTGTGATGTGATAACTTCGGTTGATGCAATGACTTCAAACACTCGCGGGCTAGAACCACTACAGCAACGGACAGACCTTAACCTCAACCCTGTGTTGAGCTACCAAAACCTGCTTTTTGTAGGCTCCCTACAATTCTATGTACATGACGGTTTCACCACAAGAGATCTATCAGCGCAACCAGCCGCTTGGAATCGGTTTCCGAAAATAGGGGACCCCAATATAGTACCCTAAATAGCAGGATCCCTGTTATAAGGACCCCAATATAAGGTACCCCTTATCTTCGGAAACTCCCAAATGGCATTGCTTGTACTGCTCGAGCTTCTGTTTGTCGCGATGGTTGGCTTGCGGGAGCTGGCCCTGCACGCTCCCAAAAATTCTGCACACGGCTTTGCGTGGAGAAGCGCTGAACCCAACCCTCACCTCCTTTTAGGGTTTAAGGTTTAGGGCTTTTAGGGTTTAAGGTTTAGGGTTTAGTACTTCTTTCAGGATCAGCATCAGTTTGTGCTTCTGTGGATACCTGTATTCCAAAGGGTGTATCCTGATCATGGCCAGAGCTACAAAATCTCAGGGCTGCTCGCCAACTGCGAACGACTTGGCAGCAGGCCAGGTGGGCCCTGAATCCGAACACTCGGACCTAAACGTTCCTAAACCCTCCACCATAATACCTTCAGACTCTAAATACTTGAACACGCAGTCGCAAAAAGTCCTTCAAGGACCCTGCAAGCAAGCCTCCTTACAAAGCCCATCAAACGCAAAACCAAACTTCCACAACCCCCGAAGATAGGGCCTGAACCCTCGATCCTAAACCCCTCTACCACTGAACCCCACCTTAGCATAGGGTTTAGGGTTCAGGGTTTAGGGTTGGTGTAGGGTTTAGGGTTGGTGTAGGGGTTTAGGGGTTTAGGGTTTAGGGTTACTCAACTCTAAGCCCTAAAAGAGAGCCTTGTCCGTGAGGCGGCAGCGAGCCGTCGACAGCCACTTCGACAGGCTGGCCACCTCTTTGGGGTTCCTTAAGGCTTTACGGTTAGTCCTCTAAGGGTTCGATTATAGGGATCTATGAGTTCATAAGGCTACTATACGGGATCTTTAAGGGTTTCTTTAAAGCGGTCTATAAGGCTACTATAACACATCCTTCAGGGGTTAGAGTTTAGGGTTTAGAGTATTATTTCACCAGTCCGACACCCTACCTTGCCAGGACCCCCCAAGCGTAAGGGTTCCATTATGGGGTGTTCCTGCTCTTAGCAATATGGGTTTCAGAGTTTTGTGACAAGCTTGTGTTGCGGTTTGGGGGGACTGGAAGCAAAAGTTTAGAACAGAACATCATATGGTACAGTGTCACAAAATATCACCATCTACCTTCTTTTAACTGTAACTTAACATGTTAAACAGGGAAAATCAATAGACATATAACTTGAAATATCAATGTAGCTTGTTTTTAATAACATACATATGAAGTTCCAGAAAAGTCGAACTCAGGTTACATACATATATATGAAACAACTGTATAACATCACTTTCAGCTATAT